TGTTATTACTGTCGATATCTGTCCTCTGTTATAACTGTCTATATCTGTCCATTGTTATTACTGTCTATATCTGTCAACTATTATTACTGTCTATACCTGTCCAATGTAATTACTGTCGATATCTATCCACTGTTATTACTGTCTATATCTGTCCTCTGTTATAACTGTCTATATCTGTCCACTCTTATAACTGTCTATATCTGTCCACTGTTATTACTGTCGATATCTGTCCACTCTTTTAACTGTCTATCTCTGTCCACTGTTATTAATGTCTATATCTGTCCACTGTTATTACTGTCTATATCCCTCCACTGTTATAACTGTCTATCTCTGTCCACTGTTATTACTGTCTATATCTGTCCACTGTTATTACTGTCTAGATGTCTCTACTGTTATTAATGTCTATATCTGTCCATGGTTATTACTGTCTATATCTGTCCACTGTTATTACTGTCTATATCTCTCCACTGTTATAACTGTCTATCTCTGTCCACTGTTATTACTAGATATGTCTGTCCACTGTTATCACTTTCTATATATGTCCAATATTATTACTGTCTATATCTGTCCACTGTTATTACTGTCGATATATGTCCTCTGTTATAACTGTCGATATCTGTCCACTGTTATTACTGTCTATATCTGTCCACTGTTATTACTGTCTATATCCCTCCACTGTCATTAATGTCTATATCTGTCCACTGTTATTACTGTCTATATCTGTCCACTGTTATAACTGTCTATATCTGTCCACTGTTATAACTGTCTATTTCTGTCCACTGTTATAACTGTCTATCTCTGTCCACTGTTATAACTGTCTATATCTGTCCACTGTTATAACTGTCTATCTCTGTCCACTGTTATAACTGTCTATATCTGTCCACTGTTATAACTGTCTAGATGTGTCTACTGTTAATACTGTCTATATCTGTCCACGGTTATTACTGTCTATATCTGTCCACTGTTATTACTGTCTATATCTGTCCACTGTAATAACTGTTTATCTCTGTCCAATGTTATTACTAGATATGTCTGTCCACTGTTATCACTTTCTATATATGTCCAATGTTATTACTGTCTATAGCTGTCCTCTGTTATAACTGTCGATATATGTCCACTTTTATTACTGTCTATAACAGTCCACTGTTATTACTGACTATATCTGTCCACTGTTTTTACTGTCTATATCTGTTCACTGTTATAACTGTCTAGATGTGTATACTGTTAATACTGTCTATATCTG